TGATTACAATCTTAAATGACGTGGAGAAAACAAATACTGCGCCTGCGCGATAAGAACGACAGACATTACGATCGTAAATGAGGGAGGGTTGAAAACGCTTTGAAATCTTAGTTTATAGTAAACCCCCAGACAGGAAAGTGGTTAGTGACTTTGACTACCGTACTGAAGGGCACGGGCTCGAATCCCGGAGAAGGTATGCTAGTGAATTGTCTCTTCTTTCATAGGAGATAACGGTGGCACCTCCATAGTAAAATGACTACCGCTTCTGGCCTTAGTAGTGACCAAAGCTTAAAATGTATTACAAGTATTGATATAAACGTCCATTTTTAGTACTTGCCATATTAAAAAAAAATTTAAAGTACTAGTCTGTAGCAGCAGTTTGAATCTCTATAAATGATATTAAATAAACATTTTTAATGAAGCCTTATTACATATGTACTACTGTTAGTAATAATTGTAAGAGGATAACTCGAAAGTTTGCTGCATTTAATGTAAGCCTAGCAACTCTACAGTGGTTATTACAGTTTAGAGAAGGAGAAAAAAGAAGCAGCTTTTGATTTTAAGTACACCACATCTAAAAATTTTGTATATATTCAGGCTTAGAAACAAAAACTTTTGTGATTCAGTGTTAGTTATTTTCGCGGCAGTCTCAAAGACGTCTTTGCTTACCAACTCTATCGTCCTTCGCCCCCCCCCCAAAAAAAATTAACTGCCTTTGAGTTGAATGTAAGAAAAGTAATTTTCTGTTTTCTATGCTATTTTTATGGCCTGTAATGTTCAAATCAAATAATGGTGATACATGTGTCAAATAGCGGAGACGTATGTGTCCGTTAGTGGTGACATGTGAATAAAGGAATTATGACACATGTGTCAAGTATTGACATATACGTCCACTTTTAACTACGACTCCTGGAACAAAATGCCTCGTTATACAGTAAATGTATGTATTCTGCCCTTGTAGAAGGAAAATAAAGTTTTCCTCGGAGATTTTCAAAAGAATACCATTCAGAATATGTTAAAAATTTGTTCCTTAAGTCTCGCTTTTCTTATATACAAATAAATGTAATAAAACTGGTTACGTGATTATCGCGAAATACGTTAGGAATATTTGACTATGAGGGGGACACTGCAAAAGGAACTTGTCTGTATTTGCATCCCACATGACCTAAGCCACGAAAACATTCAATATGCTATAAAATAACATCAGAAATACATATTATTTAACTAACATGTCCACCAGTTAACATTTATTACTTATTGTAACTTGTTAAAGTTAAATTATTTTAATAATTGCAATAAATATTGCAATCTGGGTACAGTTTGGGCTTCTTATCTTTTGTGTATTTATAGTAATTAATTAGTTTTTGTGTATTTATAGTAATTATTTAATTCATATTTATAAATATCTAGGTTGTGTTTTATCATATCAAATTCATATCTTATCTTGTTTCTTCAGCTGATATCTTACTCACACTTTGAATTACCAAATTTGCACTAATATGTTAAATGTTATCAAGATAAGATACTAATCGCAAAATACGAAATTAAATATATGAAGTTATATATTTTATTTACCGAACTAGTGACATTAGTAGGGAAAGGAGTGACTGGTTTGGCTTATTTTAATTACGGCAAAGCATTCGAGGGCTATGTGTCCAATAGAAGGGATGCCTTCGTGGAGAACTTTCTAAGTTAAACTCGCTCCTAAACGCGTTACACATGCGGGAAACTACGGAAACGTCCACGCTCACAGCCCGTTCCCTGGGATCGAAGCCAAGTTGAACTACTAGTGTTCAGCAGCTAGTGGGCCTTGGGAAAGAAGTGAAAGTTTCTTACTTGATTTAACAAGAAGTTATATCCATCTAATAAAAAATAACAGCTGATGTGGTTAAAAATAGATTTAAATCCTTCTAAAGAAAGAAATATTAATGTTGGTATACTTCTAATAAAATATCATCAAAAAAAAAAAAAAAAAAAAAAAAAATACATTGTTAAGAGTTTTTGAAAAATTTGCATCTATAGCGAACAATTATAGCTAGGCGGAATGCAAACGATTATTACATGATTGTGTGAATAAGACATAGTTTTAAAAATGTCTTTTTGTTTAGCAAAATATATATAATTAAAATATATAAATAAGAATACCATATAAATAAAACTACTGGGCACTGGGTTACGGAGTATTAGAGACATCTTTCATTAATTACAATAGTACCGTAATATTCGTAAAATTTATCAATTTGATATATTATAAATTAAATGTATTTTAATTCATATAAATGTGGTACGTAATTAAAAAGTAAAATGAAGAATTTAAACTCTTAAAAAATTCATTTCCTACTCTCAAACAATCTAGTTTGTATGGCAATTATAAACCAATTAAGTCTGAAGAATAAATGATAAATCTTATGTTTAGCCGAATGACAACACTCTGAAAGCTAGTTGTTTGAGAGGCCGATGGAAAAATAAGTTAGAGATCTTATATTTCAGGCAATGGGGAACGTTTGGCCAATTTTAGGTGAATGATGAATGCATGGAAGCGTGAAATATATTGTTATGTAAAGCAGCGATTTATAAATTTTTGTATGGCTGTATTAAAGGTACTTCTGATGTTAAGATTTTTAGGATTAAATCTCTTAGTTTTTTTTTTAGATTAATATAAACAATATATTGTAATTAAATTAATGACCTTTAGTTTGCAAGATAACTTAATGATATTCAACACATGCAAAAGCAATTTACTAATAAGCATGATTAATTTATGTTACGATAATGTACCATAACACGACACGAAGACAGATTCTAGGCTAAATGAATAAATGTCTGGATTATGCGGAACAAAAAGTTCCCGTATTTCAGTGCAGAGTTCTACCTCGGTTATGTACATTATTCAATAAATTTTCCTGAATTTTGTGAATATAACTGGCATCAATTTTGTTGTTGCCGTTCCATACTGCTATGAAAATGCTTTTGTAGGATAGGGAATCTAACCAATAATCAAATAGTCACGCTTTCTCTCTCTATATATTTTAGTAGACTTACAAGGTATACATTGTGAACCGCGTAAATGATGTACTAATTTATCTGTGGATTAGAAAAAGCCTGTGGTATCGCCAGCCAACTTTCTGTACTCCGAGGAAATTACTCTGGATTGTGCATTCTAAGACCAATTCTATGCTTCGCATCTGCAACTTCAGCGTCAGCCTCAAAAGCAGACTTCCACAGACTTCAAGTAGTACAGAATAAGATTTTAAGAACTGCTGATTACCCGATTAGAAACAGTCTAATCAATGACAACTTGAAGTGGACTACATTACTATATAAGCGTTTCTTCAAAACTGGACTTAGCTGTGATGCTGCAAGTTTTTCAGAAGTTTTCAGTTACCAAATCGTTCCGGAAGATAATTTGATTAGACCATTTGCTGCTCACATGCTTAGAGATCACAACTTCGTAACCTAGCTCTTGCGCCTTGTTTTCTTGCGCAGCGCTGTTGTCTAACCTTGTTTTCTTGCGCCTTCGTGACTTTTGTCTCTCGTAGTTTTCCATCTGACCATCATACATATCGTACAAAAGGACAATAGTGTCTTCGCTTTTGCCTCACTGTCTTGACCGTTCTTGGAGTTTCATATGCTAGCTTGTCAAAGTGATGTGCCCTTATAGGTTTAATTTTGTTATCTAGCTAATTAATTATTTAGATCAAGGAAATGCATCGTAGGAATAGCTCCTTGAGGGGATGGATGTCTTCGTGGAGAATCCCTCAGCAAAAGCTTGTCATATTTACGTTTTTCGCCGCGATTTGAACTAAATCGAACTACAGTTTAGTGGTCTTACCACTCGACCTTCAGTGGGACGCGAGGTTACATAAAGACTGGCTTGTGAAATAATTTCTAGATTTCTATGCAAGCTGCGTTTCGCACTTGGAAAATAAAGAGTAAAATTTTAAATAGGTCATCTTTTGTAAATATGCCGCACAGACGATATAGTGGTTAGGGAAGCCTTACTGCGATACCAAGGGGCTTGGGTTCGAATTTTCAAGGAGAAAGCATGGATGTAAAATTGTCTGTCCCTTCATAGGGGGTAACGGTGGCCGCCTATTAGGTGCCTCCACAATAAAATGGCCACCACTTCTGACCTTAGTAGTGGCCAAGGCCGTTATAGGCAAGTGCTCCGCCATTGGAAAAAAAAAAAATCTTTTGTAAATATCGTAGTATCTACACACGTAGTAGAAAGCTTAACTTCCTAAGGAAAATATTTTCACGAAGGATAATTACCTTGTAATAATTTATTCAATGAAATATTGTATTTAGAAAGGTAGCGAATACCGGGAAAATTAAACGATCGTTCGAATATAAAACTGTAACTGAGAAAAATACATAGAGATTTTGTTCCATAATTATATCAATCATGTTTCTTTCAAATTCCTAACACTGATAACCGAATTCCGATGACTGGAAACAATTGCATCAACACAGCGTACATTTTTCATTATAAATGCATTAAAACCTCTTTCCAACCACTCTTAAGTGGACAGCATTTCTAAGATCATAAATAATTGCTAATAATGAATATCAACGATATCCATATTCTCCAAGGCGACCGTTTCCAATGAAGACCGGAATTATTTGGATAGGAGAACAATTTTTTGAAAAAATAAGTAATCCAAATATTTTTTTAATACACTTTCGCCGAAAATGATTTATCCCGCACTGGCTTCGTGAAAATCTTATTTTATTACAGACACTCTCAAACAAGTTATTACCAGTAAAGAAGAAAATACGCGGTCAAATGTGTTTTAAGCTATGGACTTACTCCAAGCATTTAAGTCACGCACGTTTGGTTTCGAATTGTACCATCGTTCATCAAGACTATTTTTCAAACAAGCCAAATGAACTTAACAATCAGTGGATTTATCGCCAAATGTTGCTTCTTGGCGAGTGTAGGTGTGCGAGGGTGACGTCACAATTCCTCGTCTCCACGCCGTCTTGCATCGCGCGCATCAGTTTCCTAGCCGATGGAACAGCGCGCAACAACGGCGCTGTACGCCCGTATCAACATAGCTGTGAGACCATCTAAACATCCATGCCGCTGAAAAAGGTTAGTGTGACAACGAAGTCCTATTTAACTTCACTGCTAACACGCTGCCGGAATTCGGCCAAGTTCAATTGATGCGCGAGTGATCTAACCATACATATTATACATGTGATGTGTGTGTGAAATCTAGTGAACACGTGAAAAGTAAATATCATTAAAGATCATCTTTAGCCGTTTCGGAAACGATCAGGTAAGGTTTGGTTAAATATTTTCAAAAAAACTATCCCGAAGTTGCATGTTAATAGATAGCAGCTTAGCGGAAGTAGAATGTAAACAAGTCTTCGTTTGCTTTTTAACCTTATCCCAAGCAAGTGCATGTATGTATTGTTTGCATAGATATTACCAGATGTAAACAGCTCCTCACGTTGTTTATGGTAAATGAATGATTTAAATAAATCTTTTTGTGTTTTAAGTTACTTTAATTCAGGATATCTGTCTTATTTCTGAGATGACATTTTTATAAAGTTTTATTATTATTAATTGTTGTTATTAATGACCTTTTTGGCTGGTTTTCTGAATTGTAAGCGAAAAAAAAAAAAAAGTTTTTAAGGCATGTGCAATGCAGTTATCATTCAGTTGTTCCATTTTATTTGCGAAATTAGAAGCACTTTTTGTATTAATTGAAGAACTGCTTAATTGTTATTTGTTTGGCTTAATTAAATTTATTTGATTTAAAAGTTTTGGAGTAAATATTTATGTTATTTAATGGATAACTACTTTCAATAAATAACTGCAAACTATTTAATAAATTGCTTTGCTTTATATTTTTTTAATTAAAAACTTTTTCTTGTTGTCTTTATGTTATAGATTGTAACAATACAAGCCAAGCATATTTTTTCTAACGGTAATCTCTTCTTCAGGAATATAGTAATTTAAATATCAGTTTTTATTTTATTTGTAGTTTTAAAGGTAAAATGTTTAGGGTTTCATCAGGTAGTTTCGATGTTCCTGATAAAGAGTTGCATTCAAAATGAAATATTAACTTTGCGGCTTTGCAGTTAGAATGTTCGCCTAAAATGGAGTCTTTCACAGTCAAAAATCATAAAGAAAAACTGTAAAAACATAAATAATTTCTTTATGGTATGAAGCTCTTTTAAGTCTTTCTTTTATAGAATTGCTGAATATTGTAATTCTTTCCGACTTTCTGGTTCTAGAGTCACACTGGTAGTTTGGTCCGAAGCTCGATTCTCGGCGAATTGGCTGGCTGCATGAGCGTTTTCGTGGTTTTTCCCATGTGTAAATGTACACGAGCCAGTTTCCTTATAAAGTCCGCCCACCAGCGGCCGAGCGGTAAAGTCGCTGAACACTGGTAGTTCGGTCCGAGGTTCGAATCCCGCGAACGGGCTGGCTGCATGGGCGTTTTCGTGGTTTTCCCCATGGGGGAATTTTTCCTTAAAAAATTCCTTATGTGTAACGTGTATACGAGCCAGTTTCCCTTAGAAAGTCCTCCACAAAGGCATTCCTCCCCTTAAACAGATAGCCCTAGTGTGCTTTGCCATAATTAAATACACCACACCTTATAAAGTCCTCCACGGAGGCATCACTTCTTTTTAGACAAATAGTCCTCGAGTGCTTTTCCCTAAAATCAGACCAAAACAGCGCTTAGAAAGCTGTCAAAAAGACATTCTACTTAATCCAAGTAACCTTGATTTACTTCTGTAATGAATTAAGATGCCAGACACACAAGTATATCTTTCTTTCTTAAAAAATTAAAGCGTTTCTAAAATTATCGCATTAGTTTTACAAAATGATTACATAAATATTTTTAAAATGAGGAAAATAATGTTTCTTTACGATGCGTCTGCACATTTTGTGTGATATACATTGCTGAAGAATAATATTGTATTGTTAAATTGTGTGCAATCTCAATGTAATGATATTGTGCAAAATGGCCGAGACCGCTGAATACTGGTAATTCGACCCGGACTCTGATCAAGCGAAGGGGATTGATTGGTTTTTCCAATGTGCAACGTGAATATAATTTAATTTCCCTTAGAAAGTTCTCCACGAAAGGTATCTCTCAAGTTAGGTAGACAGACCTTATGTGCTTTGCCAAATTCAAATAATCTAACCTAACTATCTGCCTAAGGGAAGGGATATCTTCGTGAAGGACTTCCTAAAGGAAACTTGCTCGTATTCATGTTACGCATGAGAAAACTACGAAAATAGCCTTGGCCATTCGCCGGGATTCAGTTATTATGCAAGTATCTACCTGTCTAAATTATTTGACTAATACATGCACCCCGCTTTAATTTTCAGCACGCTAATGAGAAACTAAATTTACAAAATAAGATCTGGCATAAAATTTTCCTTTTTTCTCTTGAGAGCACTATGTTTCAAATGCTTATGTAAGATAAGATTTTATTTAAGATTTCGGCAATAATAAAATCGGAATTTGTTTTTGATTATCGACTGAAAAGAATTAAATAGTAATCAGTGTTTTTTTTAACCTTTCGCTAATGTTGTTACTAGAATGAAAGGAGTTCCCAATTAAGCTAGAATTAACTCATAAACTAGAATCATTTGAAATATTATCTGGCTAAGCAATCTAGAATAGTAACAAGCGCATAATTTGTTGAATAGTGGTTGAATTGGACAAACGGTTAATGATCAGTATCGATCTGTTTACGTTTTCAGATGAATAAATTGCGGAACGGTTGTTGGCTCGTTATAATTAGCTTCAAAATGGAAGCGATGGAAACATAACTTTTGTAAGAGCTTTGCGCATTACCAGTGTATGATGTTTACTCTGTTTTAACCCGGAATGTAAAAAAGAGTTAAATATCTGTTTTAAGATTATTTCTAACGCTTGGATGAGTTTTCCGTCGTAAAACATAGTTATATCAGAGATGTCACCAGAATAAGTAGTCACAAAAGCTATAAACGATCGATGCAATTGATTCTGAATATGGGTATTTTGTGTCTTCAAAAATGCGTAAAAATATTTTAATTTTGCCCTTAGTACGTATGATTTCTGTGATTTGGATTTCAGAAAAACATATCTAGAGGGAATGTAAATTATGCGCATCTCTCTCTCTTTTTTTTTTTTTTAAGTGGAAAGGTATTTAAATGCTTAGAAATCCTTAAAATTCTTTATTTCAGTTGAAGATTTTGTCATTCCAAAATTTACTGCAAACGCTAATTTAATTAAATTAAAATTGGTCCATCAAAAATAATCACTAAAATTCGCTTAGTAAACTATTAAACTTTTAAGTGAAAGTTTCGTTGAGTGAATTTCGCAGCAAGCAAAGTTATAGGCCATTTACTGAACCCACTAAGAGCCCTGTAATAAAATTGCTGAACACTGGCCGTTCGATCCAGATTCAAATACTAACGAAGGCATGGGCTGCATAGGAGTTTTCATGCTTTTTCCTTGTGAATAACATGAGGCAATTTCCTAAGAAATCTCACTACGAAGTCATTTTCTCCTTTAAGCAGATAACTCTCGCTTGCTTTCTCGAAATCCATGTAATCCAATCCATAGAAGAGCGCTAAATTCATTAAAGACTGGTATTTCGACCCGACTTCAAATCCCGACGAACGAGGACGTTCACCTATCATGGACGTTTTCGCTGTTCGTCCCCCCCATACGTAACGTGGATACGAACCAGTTTACTTCATACTTAGAACTTAATTCATTACAGAAGTACAGTGGGTAGAAAAAGTATTTGCACACCTACATTTTTGTTTGCAATTCATAAAAAGAAGCATTAAGAAATAAAAAAATTGGTATTGCCAAATCAGAATAAGTTTAATCATCCAAAACAAACAGAAAAATTACAATAAGATAAATAACAATGCTTTTTTGTAACAAAAATTAAAATATCTCGTATCAAAAAAGTATTGCACAACTGCATGAATACAAAAGAAATAAAATATATAAGCAAATTTCAAATAACTAATATTTAGTATGCATTCCTTTAGCATCTATTACTGCTTGTAATCTTGCTGACATTGATTTAATTAAATTTTCTGTAACAGTAGGATCAGTATTCTATCACTCTTCAATAAGGGCAGATTTGCTTGAAATCTTCCTTTTATCATTTTTAAATCCAAAGAATTTCATAAATATTCCAAAGGAGTTAAGTCTGGTGATTGTGGCGGAGTGGCATGTTTTCTGGGAACATTATAAAGCAACCACATACGTGTTATACCGGCAGTGTGCTTGGGATCATTGTCTAGCTGAAAATAGTACGAATTACTGATACCTAATTTTATTGCACTTTGTGGCAAGTTATCTCGCAACACATCAATATAGGTTCGAGCTGTCATATTCCCATCAATGAAACACAAATTACCAACTCCTTTGCTAGCCATGCACCCCCAAATCATAACAGAACCTCCTCCATGTTTAACTGTAGGTAACATATTTTTGGTATGAAAAGCAGTACAAGGTTTTCTCCAAACTAATTTCCTGCCATCTGATTTAAAGATATTGAACTTACTCTTGTCGGAGAATATGACATTTTTCCAGAAATCAATTGGCTTATTGATATATTCCTTAGCGAATTCAAGTCTCTTCAATCTATTTCGTTCAGTTATGAGAGGTTTTTTCCTTGGAGATCTCCCATAAATGTGTGCATCGTGCAGGACATTTCGAACACTTTGGGCACAGATTTGAACTCCAGATGTTGAAGCGACATCATTGGCTAAAGTAATTGCACTAATAAATGGATTTTTCGTTGCTTCTCTTATGAGTTTTCACTTCCTTCGCAGTGAAAGTTTCTTTGAGTGTCCAGAGCGCAAGTTATTTGATGTAGATCCTCTTTCTTTATGACGTTTTATAACATACCAAACAGTAGAGAAGCAAACATGTACTTTTTTTACCTATTTTTCGATAACTTAGGCCATTTTCACATAGAAAAACAATTTTTTCTCGCAACGAAATCAGCAATTCAGTTTTCTTAGGTGCCATTACAGTTTGAAATCGACAATCAACTGATAACGTTTCTACAACACCTCCTTTTATAGTCGTCTTACGTATGTTATTTACTGCGGGAGGA